ATATATATGTATCCACTGTATTTAGTGCCCCAGTGATGGACTTGTGACCTGTCCAGGGTGTAACCCGCCCCTCGCATAGTGACTGCTGGATATGGGCACCGGTGACCCTGAAAGGAGGAAACGGGTAAAGATAATGGATGGATGGATGGATGGATGGATGGATGGATGGATGGATGGATGGATGGATGGATGGATTTAGTGCATTCTTTTCATGACAGTTGTCCAAGTTTTAAGCCAAAACAAAAATGTTTACATTTTTCAGTAATCTTTATGTTTTTGGTGTGGAAAAAGCAACTGAGATTTAGGTTAAATGATATTTTGCTGTATTCTTTTTCTTATTTTAAAGTCAAATAATTGAAATTTTAGTGAGGTTAAGTAAGCATTTTTGTTTTTGTTACCTTCGCTGGATTGTGACTAAAAACATCTATAAGATACAGTATAATAAATAAAAAAGTTGTTCATAAAAATTACAGCATGAGAAATGAATACTAAAAATGAGTCACATTTTTTTTTTAATCCGTTGTGTTTTGTATGTTCTAAATGGTATTTGGAAAAGGTCATTTCCATGAGAATAATTTGTTATGTAATATTTCTGTCAATATTGACAGAATCTGGCCCTTGGCTTGGACGAGGTTTTGAATTTCGGCCTTGACATCTCTGACACACAGTAGCTGTTCTCACTATTCTTCTGCAAACCTCTCCTTTGACCTTTGCTGACAACGTTTTGTCACAAATCACTCCTGAAACTTTCCTACATCCACTCCATCCTGCCTGGACTCTTCTTCACCTCTTTACCACTTTGTTTTTCCCAAGGACAGCCGACCCCATGCACCTCAGCTCCTTGTAGCCTCCCTGTTCCAACTGCCTCCCTCTCGTTCACAAACATTGACAGGCTCAGAATCAGAAGTACAAAACCTCAAATCCTAACAAACAAATCAGAGATACACAAAACTTACTTGTACAAACCCATGACACAACCAGGGATGTTCCAGGGACCTCTATGCAAACAGGCAGCTCCAGAGAAATTTTAGACCTACACTGCCCTCTTGTGGTTAACAGATACAAACTATGACCACAGTCTTTAGTTGTTTCAGTAAAAAAACTGTTTTTTTATCATTAAATTGTTGCTATATAATTTAATACAATTAATAGTTTGTAATCAGTGCTTACAAACATAATCAAAAGTCTAGAAAAAGTGGTTGTTCTTGCTTTGCTCTCTCCTTCATCTTATATAATTCCATTTTTAAAAAGAATAATATTGCAAAAATTTTAGACAGTAAACTATAACTCCTCATTTGCATCAGGAAAACATCAACCTCTCTTACATTTGATGTCAGTCAGACATTCGCAGATGATGCTCTGCTGCCCTCCTCAGGCAGCACTTAAAAGGCAAATCTGATACATAATTACATCATGGTTTCAGATAAATGTCCACTAATAGGAAATATCGGGCCATTTAGACTGGCACCAATCGAAAGACTATAATAAGAGAGTCCCTCTGTTGTTTAGCTGCAACAGAGTGAGGTGGCGATGATGCCACGAATGATTCATTGGGTGAGCTGTGATATGAGAAGAAAATGTAGGTTTACAACATATGTGGAAGACTTATTACTGACTGGGTGAAACTGGGGAAGTGCCAGCATGTGCATAAGGCCCGAAAGCTTACAGAACACTAAGTATTGTCTGTTGGCCCATCGGCTGCCAGCTGCTGCTGACACATATATTGGATTAATAGCTTATGGGTGAACTTTGACCTTGACTTCTTCTGTGAGAAACTGATGGGAAATAAAAAGGCATTGATTTAATAGTAAATTGTTGGTGTTTTTTTTTTTTTTTCAATTTTTAGAGTCATCATGTCAGATTTGTTAAATGATTAAATTACACACAACCTGTCTGTAATTTACTGTGCGCACATGTAGTTTATTTTAGCTGCAGCTCGATCAACTAATGAGGGTTGATATGAGGAATTTAAGCCCTGACCCCCTTTCAGTTTTTTTTTTTTTTCCCGTCAGGCACGAACGGCGTTACGTCGGAAAGAGAGCAGCGAGTTTATTAGCCAGTAAACCCCACTATTATTCAGCTCCAAACAGATAATAATAACGCGAGAGTTTGCAAGTTGCTTGAAGACTCCGCTGCTGGGCTGCAACTGTCAAAGGTGGAGTGGATAACAGCGCGTGACCCAACAACACATTACTGCCACACTGTGCACGGKCGTCGAGGTAAAACCCGAATAAAAAAGAGACGAAATAATCCCGAGGTAAGGCACCGAGGAGTGTGGCAACAAATAATAATAATAATTCAAAATGAARCAACAACCGAGCGAGACTCGGTGACGCTGTCGGTTTTTCCATCGCTTCGTTTTGTTTTTACCGACTGTGTCGAAGCCGTCGAAATTACTGCACTCAACATATTTTTGTGCCTCCCTTTCGCTTCAGCCAGCGCGAGGATTTCCCCCCCACTCCTCCTTCGTAATAAAGTCGCCATTTTGCTTCACTGCTTGTACAAACTATTCTATTTTTTTTCCCCTGAAGGAGTCGGGGACCTGCCCGTCTTATCCTGGCTGTCTTTTTTTTTTTTTTTTTTCCCGGAGTGTCTCTAAAGGAGAAGACGGAGGTTGGAGAAGCAGCGCCTCGTGGTTTACATATTAATGCAGGAGAGGAGGAGGGGGGGCACGGCGTTCGAAAACTGGAAATAAGGTGAAACTCTCCTGGATTTGCTTTTTCGTGTACCGACAGGAATTGTGATTTCTCTGCTATTTTTTTCCCCCGTCAACCTGGTCGTCGCATGCGGGGGAAGAGAGAGAGAGAGAGAGAGTGTGGGGGGGGGGGGACACGTAAACGACTTGTCCGCTTCCTTTTAGGCCCCCCAGCCTGAGTCTGACCGGCTGTTGACGTACAGCAGGTGTGTTTGCCATGTAACATAACAGTGGTGGAAGAACGCCCACCCCGGTGCCTGTCTCCTGACCCTCTTCCTCCTCCTCCCTCACCGTGGGTGACCCGGGACCACCCGGCTCACACTGCTGAGTGACTGCCCCCACAGCTCAGGTAGGTGTGGCCGGGGCCAGGGGGGGATAAGTGTCTTTTCTTTTATTAAAGCATAAAAATGTAACCTTGTTGTTGTTGACAAGCAGCATGGCTTTGTGCCACGTGCAGAGAAGTGTTTCCAGGTTTGTCAACAGATTGTGTGATGCAAAAAGCTTGTCTTATAATTGTACATTTATTGCTTAATAACTTTAAAACTCAAGGAGACGTTTTCCCCTAATTTGCCCATTTTCTTTTCCTACTCGGTTCCATCTCGAAGAGAAATACCTAACTTTTAACTCAGTCTGTTTGACAGCAAGTTACTATAAAACGGAGCACATCTCTCTTTTTGTATGCAGCTGAAAAATAAAAATAGCTTAATAATAACTGCGTTAAAGCTGGTTATGAAGTAGGAARTTGTGCCAGTTTTAGTGGATTAAAAAAATATGCAATTTTTCCWATCAGATGTCACTTCTAGGGCTTGTTGTTCGTCAGATTGTCGTGAAAGTTGCTCAGAATGTAGAAAATTATTTTTATTAAATCCCTACTTAACTTTTAATAAATGCCGTATAACCGATGTGGAGCTTTTGATCGCTGGGATCTGAGCCAAATGTGTAAAATCACCTGCCTAAGTGAACTTCACACTATTTATTAGGGGTGCAACGATACAGAAAATTCACGATTCGGTTCGATACGTTAGTCTCACGGTTTGATATTTTTTCGATACAAAAATGAGAAATTTCCATGCCCCTTTTAAACTTGTAATTTATTTAAATTACGTATGAACATTTGTTTAACCTCAAAAGTACAGTTTTTAAATTAAATGTTGCTGAAACAGCAAGTTTCTCAGTGAATCTGTGCTCGAAAATGCAGCCTAGGTGGAGYAGTCGAACACAGATCCACTGATCCTTCAACACAGAGCATCTTCAGAAGACAAGCTGATAAAATAAATTTTAAAAATCTGTATTGCTCGATACAAGTGTTTATCGAACATAAAGCTCTGTTCGATACGGGTAGATGTATTGTTGCACCCCTACTATTTATAGATAAACAGTTAAAATAAACAGTCTGTTTATCAGTTGGTCATGCTATAAAAGTTGTCAAATTAATAGTTTGTTTATGGGCTCCATCAGCACTTATTGTTWCATTTTTCTGTAATTTTTGAGTACTTGCACATTGAAAAATATATGAACATTCACACAGATACAAAAGTCTGGTACACCAACTTCTTTTAGTTTTAATAGCTTAAAGTTACTCATTGCATAGAATGAAAAAAAAAACACTTCTGCAAATTTTTACTAGGTAAGTCGAACTTTTTTTAACCTTTTTACTGCATCCTTTAATCCACAAGCTTTAACTTAAATGTGGACAAACACCAAAAATATTAGACTTATCCAATCAAAATTGCTTTTTCATGGAAATCACCATTGTTGTGTTATTTTCAGATACTTCAGCTCTTTCCGTAGGTAAACAAACACGTTGTAGTTGGCAGCTGCTCACAAACTTTGTTTTTTAGGAATATATTAATTGTTTATTTTCTTTCATCTTGTTTAGTACATTTTGAGGTTTTTTTTAATGTCTTCATGACTTTGCAATTAGTACTTTTTAAGTAGGCCACTTCTATAACATTGCCTAAAGTATACRCTTTTAGACTTTTGTAAGAAAATAATAGCAAAATAATAGCAAGGTAATACATTTCCACTTCAAATAAAAATACCAGCTCAAACCTCAGTTTGTTTGTTTGTTTGTTTTTGCAATGATAAAAAACTCATAAATTACTGAACTGTTTGTTTCTAACCACATTTTTTTTCCCTGAAACGGCTTTCATTTGTAATCATCACACTTCTTTTTACAGTCAGAGCAATACAAGTGTTTCTTTGTGAGTGAGATTTCCTGTTTGTGTTTATGTGCATTTCAGCAGCTTGCATCCTGCAGCTAAACTCTCTTTGTATTTTACTGTGAAATTCATGAAGACCCTCAAAACTTCAAGGAAATTATCTGTGGAACAGATCAGCCATTGTTGCACCATATAGGGAAGGCCAAGACATGAAAATGGAAACTGATTGGCTCTCACTCAGAGACCCTTGTGTGCTCTTGTAATTTATGAACGCAACTCGAATGTGTGCTAAGAGAAAGCATGTTGGAGTGTAATCGCTACCACTTAGAGTAATTAGCTATTGTCAGCCTTCCATTCATCACACTGTTGTTTGCTGATGGGGAAGGAAGTTTTAGAACAGAGAGCCTAATTTTCACAAACACACTAGGCATGACATTTACAACAGTATAAAATCTTTTTGGAATTCAATGACTATGACATGGTTTGTGTTTGCTGTCAGGAAATTATAACAAGCATTCATTTTAAAGCAGAACTTCCACTGTTGACCAAGTGACCCATTAAAGAGATGCATCGAGCAAAGCTGCTCAGAAAAAGCCATTTCTATCCATGTCCTCTCTTTGACTCACCTTTTGTCTAATGGGCAGAGCATGAAGTTAGCGTGTGGGTGAGAGTATTGATTTTGGAATGAAACATGGAAGGGCACGCCCTCATTACCTCTGCAGATGATGTGTGTACCTCCTCTCAGATAACCTTGAGCACCAACGGCCAGCACAAAGGCACTGCATTAAAGAACAAGGCGACTTCGTCATTACAGGCTATCGATGTAACGCTGCGCTAATAATGTTCTGACAAACAATAGAAGCAGATTAACGAGCGGCAGAGCGCATTCCCATATTGTCTTTAGCCATTCACGACTCGTGTCTGTTTGTGCCCGTTCATCTGCCTCTGCAGGCATGGATAGCCCCAGTGGCCCCAGGCTCGGGAAGCTGTCCTCATCGGGGCTGCCAAGGAGCCAAACCCTGAAGCTTGGACATCCCCAGGAGTTTGTTAGAGCTTCTCCAGGCCCTGAAAACAACAACTTACACAGTGAGTGAAGAGCTGCTGCCCCTGTCTAAACGAACTCAGTGACTCAAGCGTTTGTTGGTGTAACTTGTGTTTGATGCCAAGATGAATTCCATGTGGTGATGCAATACAGTATAAAGAATAGCAACTCTCTGCATGCAGCCTGACATACTGACACATATATTATGACTATATTTGCATTTTTACACATATATCTTAGTCTTCCTTTAGCATTGGCTGAAGCTTTGGCAGTTTAAGCCAACAGTTCTCAATGTCCGTGTTGTTTCCCACAAATTTGATTACCATACCATAAGGGTCCCTGTACTTTTTTTTTGACTGYTAAGAATTTCATGAAGAATCAATGGTTCCAGCTTCAGTGTAATTCTACCCCTCCAACCACTGAGGGGCCTGGAAACTACAACTTTTTTTTCTTTCCTGAAACTGCCTTGCAGTGAGAAAACCAAACAAGTATTGCCAAGCACTGACATGAGTGAAACACCAAGCCATCTGGATGGAGATGGAATATTTTGGAAAGAGAAAGCAGGACTTGGGAATTATTTTTCAATTCAGTGACCAGCAGATTATTATTATTATGACTTTGGCTTGGAAAGCTAAGTCTTCTCTAATATAACCCAGTTGTTGTTGTTGTTTTTTTTTTGTAACAAAATAACCTCTTATTCTGGGACACTTAAGAGTACCGACGCTAACTGGGAAACTTCAGTTTGTTTCATTTTGCTCYGTTTTCCATCCCTTCAGGCTGTTGTTATGCCCATTTATGTTCCTACATGTGTTGGTGTGTGTTCAGAATATTATCTGATCTCTAAATGCAAACCACTATTGTTCTGCTTTGCTCTAGAAGTCTTTGTTTTAGTAGAAGACAGCCAAGGTCCATCAGCTTACTATCAGCGTTTTTCCATGCAGTCTCTCAAAGTCTTATGTTTTATAGATTTTTATAAGTCTTTATTACTCAAAAAARACCAATATGGTGGTCGTTTCTATCCATTTTCTTCAAGAAAGAGGTTAAGAAATACTTTTGAGCTTCTTGAGTAAGTAAAACTGATGTGTGCGTGCGTGCGTGTGTGTGTGTGTGTGTGTGTGTGTGTGTCTAAGTAGTGTTTTTACAGGAGATAAATTGGTCTTTATGGGACTTTTTTGGGTAACATTAGACTTTACTGTTCCTGATTATGTTTCACTTTCTTTTTCCACRTTTGATTTGCTTTGACTAACATKTAAATCTTGTAAAGGATACTGCTTCGGTCAGCATATTAGTGTTTGTACAGAGAGTCTAATTTGTGTGTGTGTTTTAAGGCTAACCTCTTACTCAAGCTTATTACATAAGATAATAATCTACATTCCACATGTTGTAGTTGAAAAATTGTCTTGAGTGGTTGGAAATGTTCTCTTATCTCATGCATTCCCTGAGGTTTTTATTTTTGCCTTCTAAGAAAGTTTAGCTGTTAATGTTTTGAATGTTGCAAATTTGATGCAAAACCACCAGGATTGCTTAATAATCTGCTGCCAACTTTTGTGGAAAGATTTGCACTTGCATGTTGTTGTGCAGCAAGAGAAATATATTTAGATGCAAACWAAAAAGGTAGTGAACACAGAAAATTTTAAAAGTTTTTATTAATAAAATAAAAGTTATTTTTTGTATTCCCCTTTCATCACATAAAAGTGAGTCATTAGCTGGAACAAGGGCACTTAAGCTGWTTTTTGGTGACATATCTCAGCACTAGCAGCAGAGGTAGTCACAGAGCTGAGTTGGTGTGCATTTGTGACGGGGAGCATGTGCAACACATTGCTCTTATCAACAACACTGATGTTACTCACCTGATTCATTGATGCTTTCTAGTTGTTTTTGATCTCACTGATGCAGCCYTGCACTGCATCTGGAGTCGGAGTGATCAGAGGCAGCGTAAAAAGGACATTTTTCTTTTTCAAAAAGTTGAAAGGCGCAAATATCTAAGGCTTCCTTTAAAGGTTTTTCAGCTTTCTATTCAGGTTCATTACATCCAGGGTTCATTTTTCAGTACAGTACTTTAGTTTATGTCCTCCCAGATGTGTGCTTTTCATTCCCTGCCCACTGAAAGTGTGTGTTGTTACATCTTATTGTTTTATCAGTTGTTGACAAACCTTTCTGATAAAAACGTTGGCACAGTGTAATGTTGGGAATGACTTAGCTCTACTTTATCTTTGTGGYTTTTCTTAAACCTTTAATGCTTTAWAACATACCTGAAAACTGAGTTGTGTGCTTTCCTAAGGTGCTGTGGTTAARCTTTCTTTTTTTGCCACACTACACACATCTCAAAAGAGGATGTGGTTTTGGAGGATGACTTTGTCTCTTTGTGTTTTTCTTTCTTTCTTGCAATGATATATAATTTTCTTAGTTGATATCTTGTTTAAACTTGACCGTTTTTCTTAGTTCAATAAAATGAAAGCTGTTCTGTAAAATCTTTTATGCGAGGGCAGATATTTTGTTCATTTCTTCAAATAAAAATGCTAGTTTTGGGTGAGTGAAGACTTAGTGAATGTTTTTGTTTTTATCCATCTCATCTTTAAACAAAAATTGTGCAGTACTGTCTGTGTCTGAATATAAAGAGTAAATCAAAAGTGGATGCAAAACTTTTTTTCTCCCTCTTATTTGTGTTGATGGCAGCTGCCATGTTGATCCTTGTCTTTTCTGCTACTCTCTGAACAGATTGTTGTCAAGTCTGCTGCCTCTTCTACTTGGTCAAATCACCACCACTAAATTTAGAATGCATCTGTATTCTGATCTTTATTGCTCACATCGGTGTGCTAAAAAGCTTTGTGCTTGCAGCAGAAAAAAGCAGCAYTGGAAATGCTTCTCCACATAAACTGGCTGAGGGTCTTAATGCTGATATTTATCACCCACCTGTGTGTGTGTGTGTGTTTGTCTTTCATTGCTATTATGTGGTGTATTGAGATAGAGAGAGAGGTGGACTTCACCCTTTTTTGAATAGCTTGTATTGCTTATTTAGCTTGGATTTTGCTATTAATGTTTGTTTTCCTGCCATTTAAATTTATTACGTGTTATTTTTACGTTATTGTACTTTTGTTGTTTAAGATGCAGTTTGAAAAAAGAATTAAGGTTGAAAGTTTAATTGGAACTATGGTTATGCGCATGAAGTGGCCAGTTTTTGATGGAGGCTTACAGGCAAAATATATTAAAAAAGTGGTCTAACGGACTGGTTTGGTAATCACTAAAAATGTCTACACCACTCATTTCAGACAGTTGAATTTTCACATACAAACCCTTCCGAAACATGTCAGCAAAGTTTCACAGCTGCAATACAAATAAGAGAATAACGTTTTTAGCTACAATGATGAATCAGTTTCTTTTTGTCGCTTTAACCATTGCTGTGTAAATGATTTTATATATAT